GAGAGAGTAAGTGCTGCTGATAGAACTAAAATCATAGTCATAATTTTTCGTTAAAGATTTTTAAACAGCTCTTTTGTATTTCATGCTTGAATTACCTCTCCAATCCCCGCTTGATTCTCAGTGAAAGAGACAACTTGTTTGCTTTAACATTTTTATGGTCTCAGGAAAAGTCACATTTTACAAGGCATTTCACAATGTTCGTTCTGAGCATATGAATGTTTAGGTTAACGTTTTTCGATTTAAGGGCCATTTAAACGGTTTCAACATTTGCTTCAACATGCATTCAAAACTTAGTTGAAACAAATGTTCGGTGCCTTTAAACAGGTAGTCCCAATATTGTTGAAAACGTAAAAATGTTGAAAGCTTGTTGAAAGTGTGTTGAATCAAGTTTAAATCGGTTTAACCTTTCATTCAACATCGATTAAACTTTTCCATTGTAAGGCCTTTGAAAGGCTTCCAAACAACTTCGTTTTTGCGTCCAACATTTGCCCAACATGCTTTCAACTTTTTTTGAATGCATGTTGGTCAAATGTTGAAACCATTCAAATGGGCCTTTACAGGTTAGGCCTACTTCTAGCCAAAACGATTTTCTATGTTCCACTTGCATTTGTTTTCAAATTCCATTGACAAGTGAAAGGGTGAGATATTTTTGCAAGACGGTAATTTCTTTTTAGTTAGAACTTTTATACCACACGCTTTGCTGGAGTTAGAAAAATGAACATTTTCAATAGCATTCAATTTGCTTCAACACAAAACAAACGCTACCTTCTTGAGAGAGTAAGTGCTGCCGATAAAAAACAGCTCTCTTGTATTTCGTGCTTGAACTACCTCTCCGATCCCCCCTTGATTCTCAGTGAAAGAGGCAACTTGTTTGCTTCAACATTTTTATGGTGTCAGGAAAAGTCACATTATTCACGACATTTCACAACGTTTGTTCTGGGCATATGCATGTTTAGGTTAACTTTTTTTGAGTTACACTGTAGGCCTACTTCTGGGCGAAACCATTTCCTTGTTCCACGCGCAATTGTTTTAAAATTCTGTTGACAAGTGAAAGGGTGAGATATTTTTGCAGGACTGTAATTTCTTTGTAGGTAGAACTTTCATACCACATGCTCTGTCAGAATCAGAAAACTTAAGCCAATCCACCCACGTGCACTCATGCATTAGTCCTGACCAGATTTATGAATTAAGGGTGAAAGTTTCTAAAGAAACTGTGGTGCTGCATCGGCGGGGTAACAAGGCAATTTGACTATATCAACTAAGTTGAAATAGTAAATTGGCCACCGTAATGAGTTACAAAACTGACGTTTCAAGCGTTACGGTGGCCAATTTACAATTTCAACTTAGTTAATGTAACCAAATTACCCGACTAGATTTAATCACTTCTACTTCTGGGCGAAACCATTCTCGTTCTGGGCGAAACGATGTGGGCAAAACTCGTTATGGGTGAGACTTGGTATAACCCTCATAGTTTGCTTCTTAGTTCAGAGGTTGGTTTCCTCAAAAACACTTTAACAGTAGGTTTCATAGTTGATTACTCTGGCTGTTTATTCCTCTCGTTTGTTTGTTCGTTTGTTCGTCCCTTGCTATACATGCCAAGAGTTATCTTATCAATTGTGACAGTCTCAACAAACAACAACAAACTTACCTCGGCATTTTCCAGAAGTGTAACGACTCTTCCAGGCTGAAAAAAGAAGAAAAGAAAAAAAAACGAGAGAGATGAGTAAATTTTTCTCTCGCTTGCGGAGTATTATGTGTAGTATGTACCTGTGAGCACTAACGGAAAGGGATGAATAGCTTTGAAATATTTTTGCTGTCTCATGCTCTCCCAGCAATTATAAACTGTTTGGGGCATGGTAAGTACAGTCTAAGGTGATGCGATTTAGAGTAATGGAGGCGTAAAATAGACTCGATTGATTCCGAGGAAAGAAAAGTGCACTTATATGAACGTTCTCCATCGTGAAGGTTGAGTTTGTATCGGACAACGTTCAGGTTTGCTTGACTGCTGGGAATTATATTCCGTACCTTCTCTGGAACACCTCTGTGATCACTGCTTCCCTGGTAGAATCTTCGCTCGTATCCTTTGATGAATCCAGTAAGTTTCCTCAAAAATGGAAAGTTTACCTTCCATATCAAAGAACCATAACCAAATATCCACAAATTTTGCTCGTCTGACATAATTACCCCGTCCAGTCCGGATAAAATAAATAAAACAAGTGACTGCCAAACGACATTTTATCACATCGTCAACATTTCAAAATTTCACCGCTGTCAAAAGGGATCGAGGGCTCTGACACTTGGAGGGACTGGGCGAGGCTGCCTAATGTCACTAGATCTGCCCGTGCCTTGGCAGTGGGTATATCCTTTGCTGCAATTT